TTTTAAATTATACTTACTTAAGGACCAGCAATTAGCATAATGGTTATATCGCTGGACTCCCATGTAGTCGACTGCAGTTTGCGTCCTGGACCCGGTGGCTTGAAAGTCATGCCGGGCGTGTTTGCGTGCGTGCCCAAAATCCCAAGAGGAGGATGGAGGAGAAGGGATTGCGGTGTGCCAGGGGGTGATTTCTCACTTTCTGTCCCTCTGTCTCTCTCTGTCTGTTTGGTGAGCGCACACGCCCTATAGCAAAAACCTCTCCAAAGAAAAAGTAAATATATACACACACACACTCACTTAGAGGAAGTATGCAGCTTTTGTGACTTCAGTCTGGAATACTAATTGTTACATGAGAGTGACCAGAAATGTAAGGGGCCTACCTGAAATGATTTCATCATGGCTAGTGGGAGGAATTTTTTAAATGGCTCTGTAATTATTTGTTCTCCTATTCTACTTGTTGAAAGCATTAATTATGCACTGATAGTCACTCTACAATGGAAAGAAAGATGGAAAATAGGAAGGGTTCCTTTAAAATGCATTTCACTTCACATTCATATACCCCTCCTGGTAAATGTCTCCTTTGAGAGTGCTCTTCTTAACCGAAACTATTAATTTCGCTAGGGCATGAGCCCTCTTTCACTGACACCCAGGAGGTGACTGGAGAGGGATAGCCAGGGGCTTGCTGCACATTTTCCAGGGTTCCTGGATACAGAGCATTGATAGCTGAATTTCCCCTGAGGAAGTTTCAAAGGAAGAGACTGACCAGCTGGTGGCCTGTGATTACAGAGCAAAGAGCCTTGACAGGGAAGGCCCCCGCGCTTCTACCAGTGGGGCCCCAGGCCGGTGTACATTCTCCACACTAATTGCTGACCCTGCGAAGAAAACAACAAATGTCCAGAGACAAGGGAAGTGTCAGCCAGAGATGGATTGTTCTCTCCACAGGAAGTCCAACCACATACTTCCAGCGAGAAAGTTTCTTAGTGGTCCACTTGAAATATTCGCTTACCCTGTATCACAACATTAAAGCCAGGTGACACTTTTTTTTTGTACCTGTCCTCTTCGTCCCTCTCCAAGATTGGAAAAACCAACAGCTGCTTAGTGGGCAGAGGTAGAAATAACCACGGCATGTGATTTAGCTCATTTTCCTGTCACAACTAAATACAAAGACTGGGTAATTACACACAATACAGGTGTATTTGGCTTACAGCTTTCAAGGTCCAAGGTGAAGAAGCCACATCTGGTGAGGATCTTCTTCCTGGTCAGGGCTCACTGCACAGCCCTGAGGAGAGGCAAGAGATCACGGATGGACAAAGTAAGTATCTGTCTTTGCTCTGCTCTCTCTCCTTACAAACCCACCACGATTTGATCATGGGACACCCCGCCTCCCATGACCTGGTATAAGCCAAGCCACCTCCCAAAGGCCCATCTTTCAGTACCATAGTCAGATTAAGTTTTCACCCTCGTTACACTTTCACAATACAAGCAAATGTCAACACCCCAATTTGGGGAGACATACTCAAACCACAGCAGGATGGAAGAGAGAAGAGGCTGGTGTGCCCTATTATCGCTGCTGCAAACTCTCGCTTTAGACCAATCCAAAATAGAGCTCAGTGGATACTAGAATTAGAGTGGTTTTTTTTTCTTTCCTTTTTTTTTTTTTTTTTAAATTATACTTACTTAAGGACCAGCAATTAGCATAATGGTTATATCGCTGGACTCCCATGTAGTCGACTGCAGTTTGCGTCCTGGACCCGGTGGCTTGAAAGTCATGCCGGGCGTGTTTGCGTGCGTGCCCAAAATCCCAAGAGGAGGATGGAGGAGAAGGGATTGCGGTGTGCCAGGGGGTGATTTCTCACTTTCTGTCCCTCTGTCTCTCTCTGTCTGTTTGGTGAGCGCACACGCCCTATAGCAAAAACCTCTCCAAAGAAAAAGTAAATATATACACACACACACTCACTTAGAGGAAGTATGCAGCTTTTGTGACTTCAGTCTGGAATACTAATTGTTACATGAGAGTGACCAGAAATGTAAGGGGCCTACCTGAAATGATTTCATCATGGCTAGTGGGAGGAATTTTTTAAATGGCTCTGTAATTATTTGTTCTCCTATTCTACTTGTTGAAAGCATTAATTATGCACTGATAGTCACTCTACAATGGAAAGAAAGATGGAAAATAGGAAGTGTTCCTTTAAAATGCATTTCACTTCACATTCATATACCCCTCCTGGTAAATGTCTCCTTTGAGAGTGCTCTTCTTAACCGAAACTATTAATTTTTATTGTCATCATACAAACTGATATTTGTATAGCACCTGAGAGTTTACAAGGCACTTTCATACTCATTACATTTATTACCACTCTTCCACCGACTACTTCCTCTCCATACTCCTGAGTTACATCTGCAGCATTACCAGAGTCCCCGGTTTCACATATCTCATTGTGCTGCCTTCCGGAGACAGCAATGTGAGAAGGCGTTTCCAAGTAGAGAACAGAGCCATTATTGCCCACCGGGTGCTGGTATGTTCCTCATATGTATTTAGATAGCAACCCAATGCACAGCTGGATGGCGTTTGGTCATGAGTCTAAGGAGACAGCCGTTAGCACGTGAAAGAATACATTTTTAAAAATGGATCAAGTGTCAAAAGCTATATAGACCATAGGACATTTCACTAGGGAAATAATCTGCTTTTTAAACAGTTCATCCCCCCTCCAAAGAGATGTTTGCTATAGGGCATGTGCACTTGCTGGAGAGACAGAGACAGACAGACAGAAAGCAAGATATCGTCTCCCAGGGACATGGCCATGCCTCAATCCCTTCTCCTCCATTCTTCTCTTAGGATTTTGGGCACACACATGTGCCCGGCGTGAGTTTTAAGTCCCCAGGTCCGGTACTCGAGCTAAGATCGACTATGTGGGAGTCCAGTGATATAACCATTCTACCATCTGCTGGTCCTAACAGTTCATTCTTAAAATGAGAAAAAGTAAAATGTGAGAAAGGATTGGCAGCTGGTGGACTTCTATAAGAAACATGTCCTATTCGTAGAACTACAGTTCTCATTAGACATGTAAAATTAAAACAACCGGGGCCACCCATGGACTGGTGGTGCGGGTGGCTGGATCCCATAGGGGTGACTGCTTTGAGCTCCAGACCTGGCAGCTTGAGAGACAAACCAGGCATGTTACATTGAGCCCCAAACCCTGAGAGGCGAATGGAGAAGGATCACGGTGCGGTCATTCTTCCATAGGGGGTTTCACTTCTCCTCTCTCCTCTCTCTCTGTCTCTCTCTTTTTGGACAAGTCCACACATTCCATAGCAAATTTTTAAAAAATAAGACAAAAGTTCTACATGAAGTAAAATGATACTCAGCAATTATCTCTCTTTATCACAGAAATAAATAAGAGGGCAGGCTACTGTCCATATTAATAGTAGTAGTTTAAGCGACTCACTTCTCCCTGTTCAAAGAAACTAAGTGTAGAATAACAAGGGTAAGCAAGAACATTAAATACCTCAGAATAGTAAGCAGCTCTTTTTATTGTAAAGAAAGAAATTTACTTCAGATGAGTCACATTATTTTAGTAATTTATTTGGGAGGGCTTGAAGATAAGAGATATTGTAAGATATCATGTCTTTACTTAAAGGCAGACTATTTAGAAGTTGGTAGATACAACCAAGGTATCTTTAGTGATATTTTTTAACCTAGCTATTTAATACCCGTTAGGAGAGAGACAGGCATTTCAGCCATCAACAGTCTGAAGAGGGAAGGATTAGAAAGTCATTCCCAAGACTGGGTGTGCATGGATGCTGGGACATTATCTAACTATTCAAGCTGTACCTTAGCAAAAGAAAACACCTTGCCAGTTACGGTGTCAGGTACCTGTAGTCCCAGCTATTTGGAAGACTAAACAGGAGGATGATAAGTTTGAGGCCAGGGTGGGTGGCATAGCAAGACCCTGTCTCCAACAGCAACAATAACAATAGACCATACCTGTCATTGGTCAGAAAATCTTGTTTTTATATTTCAATCCTTTTTTCTCAGGAGTCATAAAGCATTTTTTGCCCATGAGGCTCTCAGTTATTTTCCACCTAGGTAATTATGAGCTTCAGATATACACTCACAGTTTATAATGTCATTGCACATGTGTTACATAAAATATTAATCAATAACAAAACCAATTCAGTTATTTAAAAGGTGTGTTCAGTGACTTCCAGTGTAAGCCACTACTAAAGTAGATGCTGAGATTTTAAAATAATGCCCCATGTTTTCAGAGCTCAAAAAAATTTGGATAAGCTTAACAGCTACAAAAATAAAATAGATTGCCTTTCAAGTTTGCATCTGAATTTCAAATAACGACTTCATTCTTTTAATAATAAAAACACTTTCTTAAACCAAAATAAATTTAAAGTAAATTTATAAAATAATTGTTGCCTTGTTTCTGGTTTCATTCAAGCAATAAAATATGAAAGTCATTTTCTTGATTTTTTCATTTTAGATTTCTTTATTTATTTTACTATAGGGTGCATGTGATCATCAGAGAGTGATAAATCACCCTCCAGAGGGAATGGCCATGCTTCAGTCCCTTCTCCTCCATTCTCTCAGTTTTGGGGCCTGCACACACTCATACCTGGCGTGATTTTCAAGCTGCTGGATCTGGGACTTGAACTTCAGGTTTGGTCATGTGGGATTCAGCTACCCTAACCTCCACACCATCTGCTGGCCCTCATTCTCTGTTTTCTAGTGCTGAAAAGATAGCCCTTCATCAACTCTGCTCAATGAAAAGATTTGTGTAGCAAACTATAGTGTTTTCCAAAAGTTGTTAAAATATGCTCATGATGCCAAAATTTTGTCACATCCCCCAACAAGAAGGAGAATCTGATTTCTTCCCTTGAAACCAAGTTGGACTTTGACTTCCTTGACCAATAGAACACTTCAGAATTGGTGATATGCAAATTCTCAGGCTAGGTCATAAAAATGCAGTGTTCCTTACTCTCTCAGAATGCTCACTCTCAGAACCCAGCTGCCATGCTATGAGGAAGCGTAAGAAGTCCACAGAATATTCCAACGCATAGGAAAAAAATGTATGTCCCCAGTGTGTGGTTTCCATAAAAGAAACAATATATAGTGATTTAAGATGATGAGGAAGTTATGCATTTATTTTTAGAAAAGGAATGGCTGTATTACGTATTTGAAGTAAAAATAAGCTATAGGGGTCCAACAGGTGCAACATGGTTAGGGCGCTGGACTCCCACATGGCCAATCATGGTTTAAGCCCCAGACCTGGAGGTTTGCTTTCTCACTTTCCCTCTCTCTCTGTCTCTCTCTCTCTCTTTGGGGAGCACATGTTTTCTCTTGTAAATTAAATAATAATAATAATAATAATAAAATAAAATACATCATTATAAAAGAAAAGCTATAGAAAGGCTATATAATGCATTTTTTTGTTGTTATATAGAGAGAGACCTGAGGCAACTGAAGAATAAGTAGATAAAGGCATCCAGAAGTTAAATATTTGGGCAGGTAAATATAAAAGTTTGGAAGAAGATCCATCAAAATAACAACAGGGCCTGTATCTGAATGTAGAATAGAAAGTGATTGGGGTTTATTTTATATTTGCTTTCCTGTGTGTTCTAATTTTTCTTCCAGTTAGCATATATTACATGAGAATGAAAGTTATAAAACTGTAGAATGCAAACTCGATTTCAATAGCTTGAGGCATTTTATTTACTCATTCTATTGCCTAGTTGAATGTACATGATGCTAGAAGTTAAAAGCACAGTTCTCTTGCTGTGAGTGAAGTCTGGTAATGCCTTTAACAACATGCACCTCTCAGGTATCCAGAAATGCTTTTTGCAGGTGGCTGGTGGGGATGTAGAAATCTCTTCTCTGCTGACCTAACAATTAACTATAGATTACTTCCTTCCTTGAAAACGTTCCCTCTTGCTTTTACTCAGAAGGAACACTTATTCTTGTTTCAGTGATCTCTCAGCAGCTGAAGGGTTGAAAACCATGAGCTTTTTGATGTTTCAGGCATTTTTATAAAAATGTTCCATGTTCACATTGGAACATTTTTATATAGTCACTGATTTTGATGTATACTTATGTTCAGTTTATGCATTTCTCAAGTAGTTACTTTTTAATATTGTGCTTTTTAAATAAAACTTAAGGAGGAATCAAAAAGAACCTGTGCAGAGCGTTTCTCTTTCTGTGCTAAGACCATTCTTTAATATTGAAAGACTTTCCATTAATATTCCCTGACTAAAGTGGGGTTATTATTGAGAAAGAGCAGGCCAAATCCCATAAAACTTCTGTTCTGCCCTTTCTCTAATGTCCTCTCCACCTTCTTCGCTTGAAATGGTATAGAGACAAAAAGCATCTTTTCTTCTCTAGTTTTGTGATGCATATCTCCATGGTTGATGACATTTTAGAGAACATTTTTTCTAAAGGACATGAATTTAATTAAATATATTCTGGAACAAAATGGGACACCTTTCCTGTTTCATTGCACTTACGAAGTCTAAAAGAAAGTCACGTAACTACTGTAACAAAAATCCAAGAATCTGTACTCAGATGGATCCTGTGTTTTCACTGTCCACAAGTCCTGTGACTCTTCGGAAGCTGCCTAATGAATAGAGGGCTTCTAACTCGTTGGTTACTAGAACATGCTTTGTGTCACTGTGAAGGTATATTAAAACTGACACACAATAAAAAATTCCAATGTAAAAACAATAATTTGAAGTTTTCCATAGGAAGATCTATGTGATTAAATCATAACAAAAGCCACAACTAATTTAAATTTTGTTTACATTCTATTTGGTTGTCTCAGCAAAACCTTACACAAATCATATTTTATCTAAAACATGTATATTTTTTCTATATGATTAGTGAAAAATATTAACAGAACTCATGGTGCTCAAAAAAATTATTAGAATAGGGACCAGCAGTTGGCATAATGGCTATATCTCTGGACTCCCATGTAGTCGACTGTGGTTGAGTCCCTGACCCGGTGACTTAAACTCACGCTGGGTGCGTGTGCATGTGTGCCCAAGATCTCGAGAGGAGAATGGAGAAGGGATTGCAGTGTGGCCATCGCCCCTGGGAGGGTGATTTCTCACTTTCTCTCTGTATCTCTCTGTCTTTCTGGTGAATGCATGTGCCTCATAGCAAAAACCTCTCCAAAAAAATTATTAGTATAATAGTTAAATTTTGTAATGAAAACTCCAGCACTGGCCAGGTTAATCTTCCAAGAATTATACATTGATAGATGAAAAGAAATACCTCGCTTTCTGGGAAACATTTGTTACCTAGACAAACCCTTTTTGAATGAAGGATATGTGATTCATTAGTATAGACCAGACTGGCTTTTGTAAGAATTGGCTCTCCTCTTCCTGGGAAATGTCTATGTTGTTTCTGTTGTCACTTTGTTATCATTTTATAAAATGCAGACATGCCACATTTTTGTTTTTTCACATTTTGAACAACACAAGATAGGACATTTGACTAATTAATATATAACTGAAATTGGGGCTGGCAGGGGCCATGGTGGTTAGGCATGCTGGACTCCCATATGGCTGACTATGGTTCTAGTCCCAGACCTGGAGGGTTGCTTTCTTACTCTCTCTCTCTGTTTGTCTCTCTCTGTTTGTCTCTCTCTGGTCAAAGCAAAATAAATGAATAAATAAAGTTAAATAAAATAATTCTTAAAAAAAGAAAAGAAATATATAACTGAAATCAAAATTAAAATTTAGAACCAGTAGGCAGAATAGAGATTAAGGTGCTAGATCCCACATGGTGTTCATGTGCCTGGCAGCTTGAAAATCACATTGGATGTGTGTGCATGCATGCCTACAATCCTAAGAGGAGACTGGAGGAGAAGAGTCATCCTTCCTGGGGGTGATTTCTCACTATATTTAGATATATATGCACATCTTATGTTTCCAGGGGTTTTTTTTGTCTGTTTGTTTGTTTGTTTTTTTAAGAGGTTTTTCACTATAGGGCGCGTGTGCTTGTGAGCCAGACAAGAGGGAGACATAGAGACAGAAAGCGAGAAATCACCCCCCCAGGGGGGATGGTCACGCCACAATCCCTTCTCCTCCATTCTCCTCTCGGGATCTTGGGCATGTATGCACACGCGCCCGGCATGAGTTTTAAGCCACCAGGTCTGGGACGTGAACCATGGTTGACTATGTGGGAGTCCAGCGACATAGCCATTACGCTAACTGCTGGTTCCCATGTTTCCAGGGTTGTTAAAGTCATGATTTGCACGAGAGTCTTGATAACTATTTTCTTTAAAGTAGATTCCTGAAGTGATCCCAGACTTATTCAATTAGTGTTTCCAGGATTAGAACCAGGGTTTCTGGAATCATGACTAAATTAAACAATGATAATAATCAAAGGGTTGAAGTACATAGGTGAGAAGAATACCAAAGTGATTGTTTTCTAAAATTTACAACAGGCATTTTGTTTTCGTTCAGGCATGCTGATAGACAGCTTTGTTATTTTCATTTACTACTGTAGTGTTGCTTTCCCCATGTCGTTTGCTATTACTTGTTTGAGATCAAATATGTAAATATTTTAAGAAAAGTAATTAAAACAAGCATGTAAAACACATCTCTTATAGGTTAGATTATACTCTTCATTTTTTTTTTATGAACTCAGGATTTTATAAAGACAATTTTTTAAAGTAACTGAGACTTTAATTTCTAGCAATATGACAAAGAAAGCATACTGATTCATAATATCTAAAACTACGGAATAAGAAAAAAGAAATCAATTGTCAAAAAACAGATTTGAGCTGTGAGTAAGCAAAAGCAACCAAGTTAAGAGTAGAATTTGATAAAGATACTGGAATTATCTAATACAAAATAAAATATAAATATTTAAATGTTTATAAAAATAAGGAGTAAACTATATTTGATAAAGAACTAAATAGAACATCTCAGAATAAATTACACCTATCAGCATGCTACCTTAAGTTAGGAATTCAGAGAATGGATTAGTTAACATATTAGGCAAAACAAAAGAAGTTTTAGTACACTCAATTGAAAAAATTAGCTGTAATAAGCCTAAAGTGAAGGAAAGAGGAACCATAAAGTGATTTACCCAACACAGATGATAGAATGATAGCATCAAGTATATACCTTACTGAAGATCTAGAAAGAAATTGAGTTTAGGAGAGAGGCTGAGCGAAAAAATGAGACACAGCTGATAATATTTGAATAGGATAGGAGACAAACATGCAATAAAATGCAAACCTAAATATGCCATAGTAAGAGAGCTAAACACCAAAGACAAAAATGAGGATCTTAAAAATTGAGGAAAGATAAATCACTCACCAAAAACTGGCATCAAGACTGACATAGCAATGGTAGCAACTGCAGCTAAAAAGACGGTTTATACACCCTTACCATAATGACAGTTAGCAGATCGGGACTTAAGTTCTAAGTAAAGCCGTTCTTAAAAAGTGAAAACAAAACGAAGCTAGTTCTAAACACACACACGCACACACACACACGCACACATACTCACTGATGGAATTCTAAAGGATATGTTTTACAAAGAGAAAATTAGATCCAGAAGAAAGATACAACATATAATAAAAATTATGAGCAAAAAAAAAAGGCCCAAATGGGAAGCAGTACAAAAATAATATTTCATAAACCATAAGAATCCTGTATATGTGTATATATGTGTGTGCCATCTGAGTATAACACCATTTAAAATTTCAGAGTAAACTATCACTGATTTATGAGCATGAATATTTTATTTTAGCAAATAAAATCCCAAAATGTATTAAAAAGATGGTGTAGTTTGACCAAGTTGAGAGTACTCCCAGAAGAATTGGTTGAGTCAACATTAGAAAACAAATTACTGAGATATATCACATTTATGCAGAAGAAGCATTAGATATATTTTAATATTGATTAATAATTTAAAACAAATAAAAACTCTTAGTATTAAAAATATATAAGCGGGACCAGCAGTTGGCATAATGGCTATTTCGCTGGACTCCCATTTAGTCGACTGCGGTTTGAGTCCCGGACCCAGTGGCTTAAACTCATGCTAGGCACATGTGCGTGTG